TTAGGGATCTTAAGAAGGGCCCCACGGATTTTTGGGTTCAAGGGTTTGGCCTGCTGTGCATTCTTCTGGTTGCCATCGTTGAGACCATCCTGCAGGGGCTCGGGGGCTTCAGCATCAGGATCCTAAGGGTTTGGTGTATTAAGGGTTTAGGGATCTTAAGAAGGGCCCCACGTAGTTTTGGGTTCAAGGGTTTGGCCTCCCGGGCATTCTTCTGGTCGCCATCGTTGACACCATCCTGCAAGGACTCGGGGGCTTCAGCATCAGGATTTAAGGGTTTGGTGTATTAAGGGTTTAGGGATCTTGGCCTCCAGTGCATTCTTCTGGTCGCCATCGTTGACACCATCCTGCAAGGGCTCGGGGGCTTCAGCATCAGGATCCTAAGGGTTTGGTGTATTAACGGTTTAGGGATCTTGGCCTCCCGTGCATTCTTCTGGTCGCCATCGTTGACACCGTCCTGCAAGGGCTCGGGGGCTTCAGCATCAGGATCTTAAGGGTTCGGTGTATTAAGGGTTTAGGGATCTTAAGAAGGACACCACGGGTTTGGGGTTGAAGGGTTTGGCCTCGCGTGTCTCAGCCATCCCGTGCTTCGCGTGGCCGCCATCCTGCAAGGGTTCGGGGGCTCAAGGATTAGGGTCATAGGCCCTTCTGGGTTTGGGGTTCAAGGGTTTGGCCTCGTCTCTATCCTGGAAGGGCTCGGGGGCTTGAGGGTCTTAGGGGTTTGGGATTTTTCAAGGATGGCCTCGTCGGATCCTCCAGCCATCTCGTTCTTCTGATTAGGACCACCATCCTGGGTTCAGGCTTAGAAGTAGGGTCTGAAGTCTTAAGGATCCTAGGGCCTTGCAGGTTTAGGGTTTGGCCTCGTCTCAAGGGCTCGGGACCTTAAGGATTACGAGGATTCAAGGGTTGGAGGCCTTTAAAGTATGGCCTGCTTGGATGCCCCAGCCATCTCGTTCTTCTGGTCGGAACCACCACCCTGAGAGGGTTGAGAGGCTTAGAAAAGTTAGGGTCTTAATGGTTTGGGGTTTAATAAAGCTTTGGCCTGGCCTGCTTGGATACCCCAGCCATCTCGTTCTTCTGGTCGGAACCACCATCCTGAGAGGGCTCAAAGGCGTAGAGGGTCTTAAGGGTTTGGGGTTAAGCTTTGGCCTGGCCTGCTTGGATGCCCCAGCCATCTCGTCCTTCTGGTTGGAACCACCATCCTGAGAGGGTTCAAAGGCTTAGAAAAATTAGGGTCTTAAGGGTTTGGGGTTTAAGCTTCAAGGCCTGGCCTGCTTGGATACCCCAGCCATCTCGTCCTTCTGGTCGGAACCACCATCCTGAAAGGGCTGCGGGGTCTTAATTCTTAGGCCCTGCAGGGTTTGGTGTGGGGGGGGCTTGAGGATTAAGGGTTTAAGGCATTCGGGGTTAAATGGTTTGGGCTCTTTTGTTGGACTGATTCTTTGCAGCTTGGGACAACCGGAGACCAAGGGTGTCGTGCAAAGCTGTTGGGGCGTATTTTAAACTTTGGGGGCTTAAGGGTTGCAAGATCTGGGAGCTTTCGTCGCTCACTCAGGTTGTGCCTTCGGCTCCTGGCCGTTGGGCTTCGCCTTCTTGCAAGCCTGCAGGTCATCCCGGGCAAGCATAGATTAGAAGTTTCGGGCTTAACCGTTATTAGGGTGGAACCCAAGTAAATATGTCGTGCAAAGGTTTCGATGTGTTCGGGTGTCGGGGTTTATAGGACGTACGGGTTAGCGGGTTTGGGCTTTGCGGGTTCAGGGCTGTGCCTTCGGCTCCTTGCCACCAGACCTCTGCTTGGTCATGCGATGCTGCAGATCTTCCTGAGCAAGCGATTGAAGTAAAGGCTCTAGGATTGTGCTTCAAGTTGTATTGTTTTCGGATTTGAGACTTGGGGAGTATTTATTTTGA